TATACAAAGTGCCCTCACAAAATAGGGAATGCAATAAAAACAGCAAACCTGAAGCCCCACCACCAAGGTATTGTATGACAATCATATTAAGACATATTATGACATATGACAATCATTATATGACAATATGACAATTATAATCAAAGCATTATATGACAGAGTGCTGGGAAGACAGGACACCACGAGAGTAGCTCTCGTCCTGTAACTACACTTAGGTAAGTACACATAGGTAATTACCAACCGTGCTAGCCCCAGAAAAACTGGAGAGGAACGTGCCAAGAAGTGACCTGGAGGTCCAGGTCCACCATCCATGCACCCGGCCCTAACAGAATCCGAACAGGAGACAACAGTCCTCCGAGCAGGGCAGAGGATCCAGGGTGCAGACGGAAGTAGTCCAGAAGAACTGCAGACTGGAAAAGCTCATGACTGCAAAGAGCAGACGGGAAAAGCTCATGACTGCAAAGAGCAGACGGGAAGCCCAGAAGGATGGGGCGGATCGACCACGCCCCACGCACCCACGAAGAGGAAATGACGAAGCGCAGGGAAGAAGCCCACCCCGCCAGCTCTGAACCCCCCCCCCAAGGGGGAGAAGCCGTCCTCCGATGCCAGCAGAGGCTGGAAGACAACCCAAAGCGCCCACCAACAGCGGGACCAAGCGAGAGGCAACAGAGCAAGCTGCTCCCCCAGCGCCCAGTCAACAGAGAAGGGAACAGAACCCCTACAGAAAGAAAAAGTACACTACCGAAGTCATGAGGAGAGACTACGGGAATGAAACCACACTTCGCTGGAAGAGGAAGTGAGGGGAGACCTGATCACCACATACAAGATACCCAAGGGAATCGACAGGGTTGAGAAGGACAGGCTATGTAACACAAGGGGCACACGCACTAGGGGACACAGGTGGAAACTGAGTACCCAAAAGAGCCAGATAGAATTAAAGTTTTTTTTTTTTTTTTGTTTGTTTTTTGTTTTTTGTTTTTTTTTTTGAGTGTCAGAATGGGAACGGGAAAGCACTAAGAAGTAATGTGGCGACTCCTCACACAAGTAACGAGGCTGACCCCCATACAATGTCACATGTAGACATGACAGAGCCCAAGAGGCACAGGAACCGATACACCTGTTGACGGACGGTTGAGAGGCAGGACCAAGGAGCCAGAGCTCAACCCCCACAAGCACAACTAGGTGAGGACATATATTGTAAAAGCACAAGCCGCCGACTAGTGGCAGAGAGCACTACGCCGGCCAGGCAAAGAAGGCACAAAACTGCATCAAAAGGCCCACCTCGACAGCAAAACCACAAAGTCCCAGCACAACCACAACATGTGCCAAGACCCAAAAAGCTCAGTCTGCAAGCCAGGAAGACCCCGGAACCCCAAAAGGCAGAACCGGGTCACACGAGGAAACAAAGTCCCCTGAACCCACAAAAGGGGGCCCAAGAGGAAGAAACCTCCAGAACGAAACCAAGGAACCCAAAGGAACCCAGAATCGAACCAGGGGGAGCCCAAACCACCACATTTGCCGGCGGAGAACACCACTAAAAGGCAAAGCACAGACCCCAGCAGAACGCCCTGGGAAAACGGTCCCAACCGACCGAAAACCGAGGGGCAAGGTGTGGGAGCAAGCATACCAGCCAGGGGCACTGAGCCTAAACCCAGAGGCTCAGACCCAAAATCAACACCCAAACGTTCCCAGAGGAACAGGCAACGGCAAGAAAACGCCAGAAAAACAAAGAAACGACAACAGGAGAACAAAAACCCTGCAAATTTTTCGAAAACTCACCAGAGACGCTCGCTCGCACACCCAGACGCATGTAAACAAACCGCAACGCCGCCCTGGTGGCCACGCCGGGAAACCGGCAGACGAAAATGGCCGCCAGCAGGGGCTGTGACTGACGCTTAATACACAAAAACACGCCAGCAAATGTGGGAAGCTAGCAGACTGGAAGGGCGAAAAACGACGCCCAACAGCAGAAAAACCCCTGAAGGGGCAAAACCGCCCAGAACTGCTAGCAGGCAACCCCCACAGCCCCGGGAACCAACAACAGAGGCCCCGGGGCAGAGCCGTCCTCCACGCCCTCCGCCCTTAAAGAAAAGCAAGAGCCCATGGGAAAGGCAACAAGAAAGGGCCGCTGGTAAGACCCAGAAGCCTTGGCAGGAGGCACAGGCTCAAACCTCCGTCCCCAACCCGAACGGGGCATCCCCCGAAAACCGCCCGAGTCTCTGCCGCAACTAAACCCCGCCCCGACCCCGAAACACGCAGACGGTCCGGAGCCGGGAACATGGAGAGAAAGGGGCGAGCAGCACCTAACCAAACGGGGCGGCCACGGGGCATTCGAGTGGGAAACCAACCTAGCATGTTGCAGCAACCTAACCTAGCTTGCAACACGGATGCCGCCTGTACTCTGAACAGTAATAACATCAGGAGAGTACTGGAGAACAAGCAGAGAATCACTCGCAAGACTCCGGGTCAAGGTGTCAGTGACCCAACAGGCAGCATGACGGAGGTAAAAATGGCGACTGTCACCCGCAGACAAGGGAACAGCAACCAACGATCCCGTTCAAGACGGGTTGGAACCCGGAAGACACATACAATGGTCCCCCGAGCCCAGACAGGGGTTTCCAGGGCCCGTAGGGTAACAACTACGGGAAGCCCGGGCAAGGTGTTGCTAACCGGTTAAGAAACCCAAACATAACAAGAGGGTAGAGTATAGCACTGAAAACCCCTGAGACGTGTACAAGCACGGGGGCCTAGCAGAGGGCCGCCAAACACTACCAGTGGAACTATAACCACCTTAGGCAGACCCCCACCAGGCAAGAAAATGAAAAACAAAAGAAAAACCCCGCAAAAGTACACCGTCTCCAGAGGCAACAGAAACCGGCCGCCGCTTAGGTGGCAGGCTGCGCAACACCTTGACGCCCTAACCAGCACAATACCAATCCCTACCCAGGGCCAAACAAGGGCCCCAAGCCCCAGCTGGCCCCAAGGGCGAGGCAAATGCCGAGCAGCAAGAACCTCTACGGGAATGGTTCCCGAACGCCCCAGGGAAGATAACCCTGTTACGCAAGGGCAGTACTCACAGGGCGCTTAGGGAAGTCAGCCACTAAGCACATGCAGCCCCGGCACTGATGAAGTACTCCTGGCCACCGCACACCACAACACACGGCAGTGAACGCCACACAAGGCAAACACCGCCTAGGAAACTGAGGCCAGAGAAGCGTCAATCCCGGTTGACATTAGCGAACGAACTGGAGCTTGGCAGCCGGCGCGGTAGGTCCGGGGCTCCCCCCTCCCCCTCCCGGGGTGGGGAGGGCTGCGCGGACGATCGGCGTGGCAGTAAAGTGTGATGTTTGCTTGTTTGCTTGTTTCCTTGGGATTGTAGGGAGTTTTCTACCTCTCTGTTCGGTTTTTGTTGTAGTTTCTTACCATGTGGGGTTTGTTTTGTTACGCCTACCTTTCTGGGTGCCTAACCCCGGTCGATGGCAGATAAGGAAAACCCCCAACCATATGGGGTTTTCCAGGGCCATTGCTCCCTGAAACCTCTCTGAAGGGGCCAGGTTCTGGCGCTGGTCCCTGGTAGGTCTGAACTCCTTAGCTAATGTCCCGGTCTAACATAACATACATTAGCCCGATAAGCTCCAGGGAGCCGTAGGGGCTCCCCACAGAAAGAGTAGATTTAGCACTTGGGAAGTATATAGAATATAATAACTTTGAAGATGTAAAACACAGAAAATAATTTAATTCTTCGTGGCAGGGGCATTAAGAGAGGAAACAACCAACATTTAAATTTTTTAACAACTTTTCAATTAGGTGCAAGGAAATAATACCAACTTTAATGAAAACTACCAATGTAATTAAATGAATCCCTCAACCAAACCTTTCTAAAAGCTGTACACTAACAGACACATTCTCCTCGATTTAGTCTGTAGAAAGAGAAAAATATAAGAGAAATGATGGCATGGCATGGCATGCCTCGGGGTTATCAACCATCAGCAGCCAACTAATCTGTGTACCTACCACTGAGTAACAAGAACCCTTATGGACAAAGAAGAACTGATAAATCCACGACATACATGGATGTAATGCTCTCAAATATTAACTGAAGATCCAAGACAGATGAATCAAGAGACAAGTCTAAGGGAAGTTCTTACCAAAGAATCTTGAAAGATTAGCCAGGAATGTACATGCCAAGTTCTTATTGAGGAGCCAAGATAAGTCAAGGTTGGAGGGGATCAGAGAAAATCTGAATTGCCTAAACTGATGGACTGAAGTGGCATCCCTTTCATTTCATTTCATAAGTGTGGATTGGATTATGTTTTTGTCGGGAAATGCAGTTATATCACAAAAAAAAGTGCAATACTTGCCTGTATGTGTAAGTACATGTGCGTGTGTTATGTGTATGAGCCAGTCGGCCGAGCGGACAGCACACTGGACTTGTGATCCTGTGGTCCCGGGTTCGATCCCGGGCGTCGGTGAGAAACAATGGGCAGAGTTTCTTTCACCCTATGACCCTGTTACCTAGCAGTAAAATAGGTACCTGGGTGTTAGTCAGCTGTCACGGGCTGCTTCCTGGGGGTGGAGGCCTGGTCGAGGACCGGGCTGCGGGGACACTAAAGCCCCGAAATCATCTCAAGATAACCTCAAGATGAGCACTGAATATGTGGTACGCATGATCATGCAGATAATAAGTACCATAACATGGCTGAAAACAAATAACCAAAGCCACACATTTGAAATGAAAGTGAAAATGTATTGGCCCAGGACAGGCCTGAAGTGCCATCAGTTTCATTTCTTTTCATATTCATGTACGATCAATGCCAACGTGTACAGATTGAAATGATTAAATATGACTAGGCAGCAGCCATCCTCGTCTGAATTAATAAAATGACAAGCCGACTGTACAACAGACACCAATAATCAGGGAGAAGAAAACGCTGCAACAGGCACAACCAGCAATTTGTCCGTCAACAAAGGATCATTAAAAGAATAAAAGCTGTACTCACCTGACTGGCTCCTTTCACAGGACCACACTGATACTGTACAAAGTCATCCGAAGTCAACGTACTGTGTAGTTGGTGGTCCCATCCCGGTGTCTGTGGACAAGCACATAACAGTCTCAACACACAGCACGCTAACACTTGTCACAAACCTGCTACACTACCATCGTCACAAAGTATCTCACTCAAAATATTCAACAACTATTTCTTAAGTATTTTTGGAGTCAAAACACACCACAAAACTCAAGCATTTTTACAAGTTTATCAACTATGAAAATTATACAGTAAATAGAGTTGTAAATCTTGTTTACCAATGCCCATCTTTTTTTTTTAGTGCTGTGAAATAACAAGCTCTTAACCATTGAAAGATTAATTTTAACAAGGCAAATTAATCCTTTAGTATTGGCAGAAATAGCACCAAGTGCAAAGAGTGCAGAAAAAGAAATATTCTTAAAAAGATTAGCGAATGCTAGTATTTTTTCCCCCCCATACAATGCAGGCAAAAGGACTCAGCTATGAAGACAGGTTCAGACACAGCCTCATAACCTTAAAGGAGAGAGCAAACAAAGGGAATATGAGACAGTAACTACATACAGTACTAGATTTTGAGGGGAATAGTAAAAATTTATAATGGAAGCCTATTTAAATTAAAAAGAGGTAGGGCAAGGGGACATTGGTAAAAGTTGGGTATGCAAGGGAGTCAGATGTAAGGAAGTTCTTTGTCACTGCTTAGGTGGTAGGAAAGTGGAATGCACTGGAGGAAGAGTTTCTTGGAGCCATTCCATCCACAATTTTAAAAAGGAATATGATGAAAACGTCAATGTTGAGAGGGGTAATTAGTGCACTGGGCATTTTATGCCCTGCCCCCTGGCTAGGAGGAGAAGAATAAAACCAACATTGAATGTAATGTAAAGCCATTTTCTGGGCGAGCCCTGGAGGCCCCCTGAAGCTATCCAAGCCGACATGTGCCATATATGTCTGGTGTCATCATCCACGGGAGTTCTGCATGCCGACCACAAGCCAGAACCTGGTCTCCTCAGAGAGGCGCAGGGAGCAATGACCATATGAGCACTACGTTTAGAGTATGTCATGTCTGCCATCATCTGGGGAATACCTCCAGAAAGGTTTGGCAAAACAATGCAAACCCCCAACTGGTGAAAATTTCAATTTATGTTCAAACAAAGCCAAAGAACTCCCCCCAAAAGAAAACAAAGAAAACAAACAAGCAAAGCATCATCAGACTAGCATGCTCGCTTGTTAGCACCCCCTCCCCTGAAAGGGGGAAGGGGAAGCCTGCAAAGCTGAGCAGGCAGCTCCCTACCCCTGATCGTAGAATGATGAAAACCACCGATTGGAGGGAGGGAGGCTGTCAGGGAGCCTCTGGGGCTCGCTCAGAAAATGGCATTTCATTACATTCAACGCTGGTTTTCTGTGGGGAGCCCTGTCAGCTCCCTGAAGCTAACTACCCACACAAGTAAAAGAGGGACTTACCTGGGGGGCAGCAGCACCGCAGGTCTCAAGACTAAGACGAGATACCAGGACACCTTACCTACCTTGAGGTTACCTTGAGGTGCTTCCGGGGCTTAGTGTCCCCGCGGCCCAGTCGTCGACCAGGCCTCCTGGTTGCTGGACTGATCAACCAGGCTGTTGGACGCGGCTGCTCGCAGCCTGACGTATGAGTCACAGCCTGGTTGATCAGGTATCCTTTGGAGGTGCTTATCCAGTTCTCTCTTGAACACTGTGAGGGGCAGCCAGTTATGCCCCTTATGTGTAGTGGAAGCGTGTTGAACAGTCTCGGGCCTCTGATGTTGATAGAGTTCTCTCTCAGAGTACCTGTTGCACCTCTGCTTTTCAACGGGGGTATTCTGCACATCCTGCCATGCCTCCTGGTCTCATGTGATGTTATTTCTGTGTGCAGGTTTGGGACCAGCCCCTCAATTATTTTCCACGTGTAAATTATTATGTATCTCTCCCGCCTGCGCTCAAGGAAGTACAGATTTAGGCTCTTTAGTTGGTCCCAGTAATTTAGATGTTTTACTGAGTGGATTCTAGCAGTAAAGGATCTCCGCACACTCTCCAGGTCAGCAATTTCTCCAGCTTTGAAAGGGGCTGTCATTGTGCAGCAGTACTCCACTCTAGAGAGCACAAGCGTTTTGAAAAGTATCATCATCGGTATAGCATCTCTAGTGTGAAAAGTTCTTGTGATCCAACACGACAGATGACCCCAAGCAACATAAGGTTGGTTAATATGAGAGCCCTGAGCTTACACAAGATACCTGGTGACCAGGACTCTGTTCGACCTCCAAAACCACCGAACCTAAATGCTGACCCAAGACATATTACCGAAAACAGCGGCCAGGGCAGCATACTTACGCACATCATGAGCACGATGGTAGACTGCAGGCTGGCTAGACTTGATTACACTGCGGACAACCTGAGAAATATGAGCCCTGGAACAAGGAACCAGGGAAACTGGCTCCACCCAGAGCATATCCATGGACACCGAACCAGTGGCCCACAGGTAGCGACAAAGCCGCCACCGGATGTAAGACAAGATGTAACCCCCGACCTATCCAACCAAGCATCCACAGCCAACGGATTCCTCCGGAAGCCAGCTGTCTCATTCTTCGCTAGAAAAGGAGAAGGCTGCAAACAAACAAACAAAATGCCCACCAGGGCCAAACAAGCAGAAACCCCAATGCCAGAGCATAGGGAGCATGAAGCTCCACAACCCGACCTCCAGATGCCAAAGCCAACAACAAAAAAAAAGCTTGCAGAAAACTATCCTAAAATGAAGAGGCTACAACAAACCAAGGGAAGGAAAGAAAAAGTGACGACTAGGTCCAAAGACCAAGATGGCGCAAGCAGTGCATGACCAAGCCGGAGGGGAATATGCACGGGAGAGCTTGCGGAATGGAGCTGAAGTGACATCCACCCTGAATGCAAACTCGAGCGGCTCCGCCAACATCACATTATAAGAAGCGACAGTATTTGGCATGAGATGCCGGTCCAGAAAAAGCCAAGAAAGGAGAAAAACATTTTCACAGACACAGACAACACCCTCCAAAGGGAAAGGAAATGGCGCAAAGACCGCCAGGAGACTTCATACTGTCGCTGAGATGAAGACCGCAGGTGGGATACCATCAAAGAAGCCACCTGACCACCATACAAGTGGCAATACACCCGCATCAGAAAACCAGATGTGAAGAGCGGAAGAGTAAGGTGAACCAGCACGGTGACTCACTGGCCCAACCTGCTGAAAGAGGCGGAGCCATGGAAACACTCTCAGGTGCTGACACTGAGCAAGCAGCACTTGAAACCAAGGCTGGGCCAGCCACCATGGGGCCAGGAGAAGCACCCTCTCCTGAAAGGATTTGACCCGAGCAAGAACACGAAGCAACAGATGGCCCGGGGAATAATGGTACAGGCACCCCCACCTTGACCAGTCCTGACAGAAAGAGTCCACCGCGAAGGCTTTGCAGTTGGGGAATGGCACCACGTATAATGGGAGACGCCAAGATCACACCGATGCGAAAAGGTCCACCTCTGGGGGCCCGTAGATCTGACAAAGCCAAAGCCCCAGGAAAAAACACAGGGGGCGCCATAAAGAGCCAAAGCGCGACCCCTGCAAGCACAACAAGAGGAGGCACAGCGAGATAAGGATAAACTTACCAAAACAACCAACGACACCACAGCAGGGATGCAGGAAGAGCATAGCAATCCATGCACCTTTCCCAACCTTAACAAAGCAGACATAAGCCAAACCAGAGATATGTCACACCAAAGGGAACAATAGGCATCAAGAACAAGAGCGCACGAACTAATAGAAAAATGCCCCAAAAAGCAAGTGCAAACACCCAGCAGCCAAATGTAAACAAGATTTGGAGCACGGCCCTGGTGGCTGGGCACAGAAGTGCATCCAGTAGTGCAAAATGGCTGCCAAAGCATAAACAACAAAACCACCATAAAACATCCAAACTAAAGATGGATGCAGCCGACGCGAGGGAGCGTAATTCATGCCGGCAAATATGGCAAACCAATGCAGAAGAAAAGGACGTGACGAAAACCCCCTCCCCCTACCGCAACAACCCCAGCCCAGAAGGCACAAAGGCCCAAATTGGGGCAACCGGAGCCCAAGCACTCCTAGCGGACTCCCCCAGGTCCCGGGAACCCACAACAGAGGCCCCGGGTCAAAGCCCTCTTCCACACCCACCAACCTATAAAGGAAAGGCAGAGTCCAGGGAAAAGTTTCAAAGAAGGAAGTCAGCTGGGTCGACCCAAAAGCTTCGGCAGGAAAATCAGACTCGACCACCTGTGCCCGAATTGGAAGGGACCGTCCCCTTCAGGTATTCAAAAGTATCCAAAGGATACCTGATCAACCAAGCTGTGACTCATACGTCAGGCTGCGAGCAGCCGCGTCCAACAGCCTGGTTGATCAGTCCAGCAGCCAGGAGGCCTGGTCGACGACCAGGCCGCGGGGACGCTAAGCCCCGGAAGCACCTCAAGGTAACCAAGGTCCCGGAAGCCACCCGAGCCTCATACCGAGCAAAACCCCGACACGACTCCTAAACCTTCAAACGTCTGGGAGCCAGAAGCAGGGTAGGGAGGAGCAAGGTGAACCACACCCACCTGGAAAAGAAGCAAGGGTACGGACGGAACCACTGATGAAGTAACTAACGCCAAAATCCTGGTCCCTAAAACCCAAGGGGGATGGCTCTGGTGCTATAGAGAATAAAGCATGCAGCGCAGCTGCTGCCTGATCCAAACAACCTCAGACAAGGAATGGGTAAACTGAATGACAAACGGGAAACAAATCCTGCAAGACTCAGGGTTGTAGATGTCACCGACCCAACAGGCAGCATGATGGAGGCAGGATGGGTGATCGACACCGCAAGGCAGGGGCAACGAACAACCTTCAGCATCGAACGAAGCGAGACAGGGCTCGGAAGATGCATCCATGGTACCCCCAAGCCCAATGGGCTTTACCAGGGCCTGTAAGGCACATTAGCCCTATGGAAAGCCCAGGCACTGTTTGCCTGGCAAACTGTTAGCAGACAAACTGACTGCTGTTAGCAGACACACTGACAAATCAGTAGTCGCTGTGAAACGTCGGGGCAACAGAAAAGGACTACCAACACAACTTAGGCAGGCCTAATGGGAAGCTAAGCAGATCACCTCTGCCAAACACAAGCAACCATGCTAAATCAAAAAACAAAACTCCTGAAGCAACACAAAAAACTGGCCGCTAGAGGGAATCGTCGGCTGCCTTGTGTATGCAGGCTGCACCGGCTCCAGTGTGCCCCTCCCAGCAAAACCCCACTCCCTACCTGGGGAAAGAATGGAACCCCAAGTCCCCTGATGTACCCCAGTGGTGAGAACAACGACAAGTGACGAAGCCCCCAATCGGGAGTGAGACCCGAACGCCCTAGGGAAGAGAACCCTGCAACGCTAGGAAAGTACTTATCGGGCACCTAGGGATGGAAGCCCTAGGCTGCACCCCAAGTACTGAGAACACCTGGCCAACACACCACCACACACAGCTAGCACAGCCACAATCTTGAGGTTATCTTGAGATGATTTCAGGGCTTAGTGTCCCGGTCCTCGACCTGGCCTCCTTTTTGTTACACATCCCCAGGAAGTAGCCCGTAGCAGCTGTCTAACTCCCAGGTACCTATTTACTGCTAGGTATCGGACATCAGGGTGAAAGAAAATTTTTGCCCATTTGACTCTGCCTCCACTGGGGATCGAACCCGGAATCTCAGGACTATGAATCCGAAGCGCTGTCCACTCAGCTGTCAGGCGCCACAAAGGCAAAATCTAGACAGGAAAACGAGGCCAGAGGTGATGCATGGACACCAGGTACATCAGTCAAGAACTGGGGTGGTGAACCACCTGCTTGCCTGAGTGGGTGCGCTAGTTGGATGACAATTTGCTTGTTTGTTTGTTTTCTTTTGGGGGAGTTCTTTAGCTCTTCGGATGTAGGTTGCAATTTTCACCAGTTGGGGGTCTGTATTGTTTCGCCTAACTTTCTGGGGGTATTCCCGGTCGATGGCAGACATGACATACTGTACTCTAAATATAGTGTGCTCATGTGGTCACTGCTCCCTGTGCCTCTTTGATGGGACTACGTTTTAGGCTGGTGGTCTCCAGTAGGCATACAGAACTCCCATGCCTGATAATACCAAACTAATATGACACGTGTCATTTTGGATAGCTTCAGGGAGCCGATGAGGCTTCCCACAGAGAAAGCTATACTTATCTCACTTCCCCGTAGTCATCGATAGATAAGCCAAGTATCTTGTTCCTCAATACTGGCAGTACTGACTTATCCTTACAAATCTAATTGTGAATACATTACAACAGCAAAAAATACTCACCGAATGTAACCCCGAAGGTCCAGGCAGAGGATGAGCCGAGTGCTCTAGGGCACCCACGTGACTCTGTACCACTTGGCCAAGCCCCTGAGCTGATAAAGGCAAGGTGGATGTATTTGCCATGTACGTCAGCCCAGGATCCGAGAACTTGAACAGCTGCGATTCCTCATTACTATCTGTTTGTAGCCACTCCTCAGGTTCCTCTTTCACATTAACATCTTCAAACTTTACCTGAAGAAATTGAGACAGACACTGTAGCAAAGTGGCAAACTTTATCACATGTAAGAAAAAGCCCAAAAGACAGATAAGGAGTTAATACGAGAGTTAATTAACTGTGAAAAAGTCACATTAGGCTATGTTAATAGAGAATAAGCTTACAAAATGACAACATGATATATTACACAAGTATCAGTATAACTTGATCAACCATATTTTCCTGCATATAACAATATAACACGCATCTAGCTTTAAGGACAGTTTTGTGCAATACATTTTTTACAATATGTTTCATCATACATTTATTGAAAGTGTTTTCAAGTAGTTTTGTATGGAGAGCATATGATTTAGTGCATGCAAATACAATATCTATTTGGTTGGTGGTAGACCAAAAATGTGCATCCTACGTGCCAGAAAATACAATAATTCAACAAATATTTGTAATAGTCGTTTGTCAATAGTACTGTACACATAAAACTTGTGTTCTTAAGGGGCCGGGGGACCCAAAAATATTTAAATTTAATGAAAATTACTTAAAAACGTTACACAAATCTCCAATTATTTGGCAACATGAAAATTTCATCCCAATGTTAAAAAATGGATTTTATATGTAGTGGAACCTCCATTCTCGTATGCCCCTGTTCTCGTAGTTTTCGGTTCTTGTAGTAAATTTCTTTGAGAAATTTGATTCGATAGTCATAGTTTGCCTCTGATTCTAGTTTGTTTATACATGTACGGGTCCACCGCGAGGGTGGCGCTTCAGTTTACCAGTGTCTCCCGCTTAGTGATGATTACGCTTGGATTCTTTGTGAAGAATTTCATTGTTTTTGTGCTTTTTTTGGTTTCTGAACATAAAAGTTCTTATTATATATCATGCCATGGGTCCCAGGAAAGTCAGTGGTAGTGTTCAATGTAAGAAAATAGTGTGAGGATGACGACAGAGGAAAAGCAAGAGATCATAGTGAGACAATGTGATGTCTCACTACAGACAAGTGCTAAAATGTAGGGAAAAACAAGTGTCTATAGACAGATTCTTAGTAAGACAAGCAAGCAGTGAGCCACAACCAGGTCCTAGTGGTATGCCTGCAAAACATAAGAGAGAGAGAGAGAGTACCCCAGAAATGTCATCACTGCTGTTATAATGGAAGGGAACTTCCCTTCGAAACACTAACACCTCTCCTCCTCGCTGTCTTCCATACGCCAACAGATTAACTATGAAAACGAAGGTATCACTATACATTTGAAAAAAAAAATACCAGCGTTGAATACAGTGGTACCTCGGAATACGAGTGTCCCTTTATACGAGTTCTTCGGAATACGAGCAGGATTTGCTCGGAAAATTTGCATAGGAATACGAGGGTTGCCTCGGAAGGAGAGGGTGTTGATACACGTACAGGCCGACCTAGCGCGTGGTGGCACGGCGATCGCCCATTAGTTTACCAGTGCTTTGCGCCTAGTGACTATCCTGCCTGAATTCTTCACCAGGATTTTCAGTGTTTTGTTGGATTTTTGGCCATTTGACCATAAAAGTTGTTATTATATATCTCACCATGGGTCCCAAGAAAGCCAGTGGTAAGGATCAAGGCAAGAAAGCCCATGTGAGGATGACAATAGAGGAAAAACAAGAGATCATTCGGAAGCATAAAAATGGTACACATGTTGTTGAACTTTGTAGGCAGTACAACAAAGCCATGTCAATGATATGCACTATACTTTGCAAGAAAAAGGACATTATGAGTGCTAAATTGGCAAAAAGCGTAAGAATCATGAAACAAAGACCACAAATACTCGAGGAAGTGGAAAAGTTGTTATTAATTTGGATACACAACAAGGAGTTAGCGGGTGAGTGTTTCAGAGGCCATCATTTGTGAGAAAGCCAGGGTATTGCACGAAGACCTTGTAAAGAAACCCCTGGAACGAGTGATGCAGATACGATAGACTTTTAGGCAAGCAGGGGAAGGTTTGAAAAATTTAGAAAAAGAAGTGGTATCCATAGTGTTGCGAGGCATGGGGAGGCTGCCAGATCAGACAAACCAGTGGCTGAAAGATTTATTGAAGAATTTAGAGTGCAGAGGCTGAGGGATACTTACTGCAACAAGTTTTAAATTGTGATGAAACAGGACTGTTCTGGAAAGGATTGCCTAAGAGGGCATACATTACCAAGGAGGAAAATCATTGCCCGGACACAAGCCTATAAAAGATAGGTTTACGCTTGTGCTGTGTGGAAATGCGAGTGGCGATGTGAAAATTAAACCCTTGCTTGTGTATCATTCTGAAAATTCAAGGGTTTTCAAACAGTATAAAGTCCAGAAAACCCAAATATGTGTGATGTGGAGGGCTAATAAAAGGGCATGGGTGACTAGGATTTTTTTTTTTGCAGTGGGTGAATGAAGTGGTGTGCCCTGCCATACAAAAATATCTGCAGGAGAAACATTTGCCACTCATGGCCCTGCTTCTCCTCGACAATGCTCCTGCTCATCCTCCAGGTTTGGAAGATGAATTGTTGCACACAGTAATTTCTCACAATTTTCTTCCTAACACCACTCCTCTAATTCAGCCTATGGACCAGAAAATCATAGCGAATTTTAAGAAACTTTATGAAAGGGCACTTTTCCGGAAATGTTTTGAAGTGACTGAAGCCATAAAACTCACCCTCAAAGAGTTCTGAAACGATCATTTTAACATTTGTAGTGCTTTAAAACTCATTGACAAAGCCTGGCAAGAAGTGACTCAAAGAATCCTGATCTCTGGCAGGAGAAAATTTGTGGCCTGAATGTGTGACAGAACTATACTTATGAGGGGTTTGAGCCTGTAAATGATGTGCCTATTATTGAGGAAATTGTTACTCTGGGCTGGCAAATGGGCGTGGAATTGGATGGTGATGATGATGAGGAGTTGGTGGAAGAACACAACGAAGAACTGACCACCGAAGAACTCCAAGCCCTTCAAAAGGAACAAGAAGACCCAGCTGAGGATGTTTCTCCAGTGGAGGAGGATGAGGCAGTACAGAATGTCCCTTCTGCAACCATTAAGAAGTGGTGTCAGATGTGGGAAGAAATGCAAACTTTTATTGAAAAGACTCTCCCAGAGAAAGCTATAGTAGAGCGTTGCATTAATCTTTTCAATGACAATGTGATGCATCACTAGAGAGACATCTTGCGAAGAAGGGAAAAACAATCTTCCATGGACAGATTTGTTGTGAAAAAATTGAGCAGTGAGCCACAACCAGGACCTAGTGGTATGCAGGCAAAACATGCCAGAGAATGCACCCGAAAGAAGTCCTCACTGCCTGATGTTATAATGGAAGTGGACTCCCCTTCCAAACAGTAACACCTCTCCTCCTCACCATCTTCCATACGCCTACAGCAGTCATCAGCAAGGATAAGTAATAACTTGAACATAGTTTTGTAGGTTTATTTAGATGAATTAGGAATAAAATTTAGTTTGAGGTGAGGTTTTTGGGTAGTCAGGAATGGATTAATTCATTCCCCATTAATTCTTATGGGGAAATTAGCTTCGGTTTACGAGTTTTCGGAATACGAGCTGTCTCCAGGAATGGATTAAACTCTTAAACAGAGGTACCCCTGTATAATGAAATGCCATTTTCTGGGCGAGACCCGGAGGCTCCCCGAAGCTTACTAGGCTGATATGCTAGTGTCAGGCTTTGGCATCAGTCATGTGTATGTTCTGTGGGCCTAACGGAAACCACGAGCCAGAACCTGGCCCCCTCAGAGAGGCAAGGGGGAGCAATGGCCTATAGAAACCCCCTTGTAATTGGAAGCATTCTATGTCTGCCATCGACCGGGTCAGGCACCCAGAAAGGTAAGTGTCCCAAAACAAACCCCCATTCTGGTTAAAATTGCTACCAAAAGCCGAACTTGTGGATGGAACTCCCCAAACAAAAACGAGCAAACTAGTATGACGTCTCATGTCACTGCGCCACTGTCTGCACAGCTCGTCCCTCCCCAGGAGGGGGAAGGGGATGCCCCAGACCCCCAACACCGGCTATACACACCCCAGTTCTGTCAAAACACTCGAAAAAAACGCCGACTGGAGGGAGGGATGCCGGGGAACCTCCGGGTCTCACCCAGAAAATGGCGTTTAATTATATTCAACGCTGGTTTTCTGGGGGGAGCCCCGTTGACTTCCCAGAGCTAACTACCCACAGAATAGAGGGACTTTCCCAGGAGGCGGTCGCCGCACATTACTCAACCCGAAGACGAGACAACCGGCTGCAACCGCCAACCTAAAGCGACACAAGCCGAATAGACCCAGGAACGATTACGAGATAACGAGCAGCCAGGACCCTGTTTGACTGCCAAGACCCCCGTGCCCGTACGCAACCCTGGACATATTGCCAAAACCGGTGGCAAGAGCCGCGAACCGGAGAACGACCATGCGCACGGAGAGAGACACAGGGAGATAATCCTGCGGACGACCCGGGAGACCCGAACTTGTGAACAGGGAAGAAGGGAAACCGGATCAAGCCCTTATATATAATATGTGTATATAGGGTAATAACACTGCAGTATTGTTGGGGGAGAAAGTTTAGTGTGTGTGACCTTGAATGAGTGAGGGATCCGTCAGCTGTGTATAGCGACGACTCTTGGTGCCTGAACTAACTATATCAGCTTAGCTGTACAGTCGTGGTGAACAAAATATATATATACTTATATATAACTTCTGTATATAGTGTAATAACACCACAAATTGTATTGTTGGGGGAGAAAGTTTACTGCGTGTGTTGAGGGAGTGGCAGCGAGTGGCTGGCTGGTGTGTGGCGGTAACTCCTCGTTGCTTTTCGACTCTCAATACCAACTTTGTGGTTCGTTATGGTGAACAAAACATGCAGATACCTATATATAACCTGTGTATAGGGTGTAATAGCAGCAAAACTATTTGTTTATTGTTTTATGAACATAATAACTGAATCACTAATATGCACATCATACTTTTGAGTATAGCGATTATTCACCACTTTTATTATATAAATATATTACAATACACACTATTGAATAATATTACTGCAAAAAAACTAAGAAAAAATCAATCGGAGACATTGAAACAATTAGGTAATATCATCTTTGTGGCAACTCCCACCTGTCAGCGTGGGTGACGCTGACCAGCTCTGACGACCGCCGTGTCAACGCCCACTTTTTGCCCAACTTCTTTGGTCAATTGCGCCCAAAATATGTCCCCTACGATTTTTTTTTTCCCGTGCTCAGGGGACACAAATTAACATGTTTAGAAGACAAAAAAAAAAAATTTGAATTTTTTTTTCTTGCGCACAGGGGTGTAAATGTCCTCAGGACCCCTGAGCAGTGGAAGGGTTAAGAACCAAAGCAGATTGAGCTCTAATATTTTGCACAATTTATTTCGGATCCAGGGCTACTTTATTACAAAATTTCATTAGATTTAGAAAGGGTCGAATGGGAGGCCTTTGGTGAATTCACGTGGAATGACTCAAAAGATTTACCAGTACATCTATACAAAGTTTATACAAAATTTTTTTTTTAGACAAAAAAAAATGATATGACATTTACCTGAGAACTATTACAGTCGGTTAATTCACCATCATGGCTAATGGAACTTTCATGACTCTTTGCTAGAGGGGCAGCCGATTTAGACCCCGAGTCAGCCTGTGTCTCGGAGGCCAGTTCAGCTGATGCTAGCTGAGCTGGGGAGACTATCCCCAACGTAGATATATTGTTGATCTTGCCATGTCCCGAAGCTTGATCTCTTCCCCTTTTGGATTCAATACACGATTCTTTACTTCCCAGAAGCCCTTTGCTCGATCCCGAACTGTCATGCAAAATGCCTTCATTCGTCTTAGTCTCAGATCTGGAGTTCAGTAGCAAATCATCATTCTGTCTTCTGCGCTTTGTCTCCCAACCATCATCTTTTTGGGAAAGATTTCTCTTACCATCATCTTTCTGGAAAAGATTCCTCTTACCATCATCTTTCTGGGAAAGATTCCTCTTACTATCAACACACTCCTTTCTGGGGTTTGTCTCTGTGGGCTCTGCCAGACCTTTGATCTTGAGGCACTCGGCTGCCTTCATAAAATTCGAGAGGTCACTCTGCAGCACATTCACCTCACCAATGTACATAAAATCCAAGAGTGTCTCCAAGTTTTCATAAGGTATGTCGGCTAACACTATCATGAGATGCTGTTTGTCCGCCACGTCAAACATCCTCTCAAAATATTCACTACACGTTGAGAGAACAAGTTTATGGACAGGGTAAAATCTTCCTTCACATGCTATAGTGGCATCACAATACATTTCCTGCAAAAATTAAATAAACATTAGTTAAAAATGTACCATTTCTGTTTCACAAACATCACCACATATAGTAGTTACATACAACATACAGTCAGAGACAGCTTGAACGGTATTAGAAATGCATAATTCAAATCCTGTTAGAGTTTCATTCCTAGTTAACAATAATATCAATCTTTCCCTGGAAATATCCAAGTAGGGCCAAAAATACAAACATGCCATCTAATAACTAGTATGTCTCCAACAACCCAACAAGGCAGGAAATTCTTAAACGACTACTATTTCAACATGGTAATTAATAAAATTATTATTTGACCAAAATAATAGGGGATGTAAAACAAGCATAAAATTTAACATATCTGAGCTTTGCTGTTATAATCAGTGCACATAAATTATACAATAGTGCAAAATATACAAGTAAATATGGTATTTTCTACAGGAATCACATGTACTTTTCCATCACCAAGTACAGTACCCCAGCAGAGATATAACACCCTCTTCCAGCAACCCAGCCTAGCACCTAATATGTCACATTTTAACGGAATCAACCAATCCATTAAAAATGAAACATATTAGTAACAATTAAAGCACCACAATGCTGATGTTTCATATTCATAGGCCTTGATAGGTGAAGTGGGTTGTATTGGTTTGCACATTTCTGGTTTAGTTAACAGTTACACCTTTAGTGGCAAACTGAGACAATAGACGGCTTCCAGCCCCCTACCACATCTCCAAACTTCTTGACTGAACACAGAAAAACCACTTACTTTTTTCCGAACAGATGAGAGCATGCGGAAAAACGTGGAGTGATGATCCCTCCATTTAAGACACAAGAGTCCACCATTCATGTTTTCTTCCTGCTATAGACTCAATAGATCCTGCAAGGTGGAGCAAATCATTAATGTTATTACATACTGAATAGTACAAGCAAAAACAGAGATAATGCCCAAAATAACAACAGAATAGGGTAGAATGTCTTAATTTATTTATGTAGAAAATATAGCACTGTACTGCAAGAGCTCGTTAATCCAAGTTCCAGTAACCAGAATTTTTGGGCAAGGTGAATAAATCCGAGTTCGGGTTTATGACTGCTCACCTTGAATTAAAATTCGAGTTACTAAGATTTTTGGCAAATAAAAACTTAAATTAATTTCTAATATTTTTGCTCTTTTCATGTAAAAAAAAATTATACTGTATGTGAAATGTCCACCCAACTCAAATGGGGGTGAGCCCCATATTATCAGGATTATTAAGCATATACAGTATAATCAGGAGAATTCAAAATGTAGAATATAACTATTAATAAAAGATCAAGACATGAAAGTATCATGGGAAAATTTCAGAAAGATCATTACTGAACGTGTTTCAAGAGTATGTGCCAAGACAAAGAAAAGAAAAGAAAAGAGAGCTAGATGGACGACACAAGAAGTAAAAAAGAGCTCCAATAACTAAGTGCAACCTCTGGAACATGTATCAATCCACAAAGAGCAACAGAGATTATGAGACATACAGAAGGGCCTAAAATTCAGCCACCCAGGAAATCTGATCAGACAAAAGAAACTACAAAAGAAAATTTGCTCAAAACATACAGGAAGATCCAAAGTCTTGCTAATGCCTAAACATACAGGAAGATCCAAAGTCTTGCTATGCCTAAACATACAGGAAGATCCAAAGTCTTGCTATGCCTAAACATACAGGAAGATCCAAAGTCTTGCTATGCCTAAACATACAGGAAGATCCAAAGTCTTGCTATGCCTAAACATACAGGAAGATCCAAAGTCTTGCTATGACTATATAGAAAGTAAAACCAGAACAAAAAAACTCAGTAGGATCCTTAAAAGATGAGACCAACCAATTTACAATAGATGATAAAAGGGCAGGAAAAACACTGAACGAACATTTTACGTCTATTCACACTAGACCGTTTAGACGACATCCCAATACCCGCGCAAATGTTTGAAGCAGACGAAGAGAATGAATTAAGGGATAACTCCCATAACATGCAATATAATCAGGAGAAAAATATTGACAAACTTAAAGATTCAAAAGCCTCATGTGTGGCCTGAATTCAGTCCAAAGTCATTAAGGAACTGACAGATGAACAATGTCAACCACTGAACCTTCTTTTTGGAAAATCACTGGACTAAGGGATTTACCAGAATTTACCCTAGGGCCTCTAATGCACTAGTGGCCTCGATGAGGACAGAAAGCTGGCAGCTTGTCAAAGGTAGCCCCATTTGCCCAGATTATTTTTTCCCAGCTGCATTTTAAATTTTAACCTTTAGACAGCGACTACAGAGAAATGGTCATACTATGCAAATACTATTTTCCTATGAACAAAAAAATTAAAAATTCCAAGAAATAATTTTTCATTGTAAAATTTGTAATTTGTATGCAGTGTAAGAAAAACATGAAAGTAAAAGAATATTTATCGTTTCACTGGGCGGAGGCACTCTGCAAGGGTGCGTCTGGCACTTGTCATCTGACAATTATGCTGACGCTTCCTGTTTTATCCTCCGATGTTTCACCGATTGTTGTATCATTTATTTTTCTTTATTTACATCCACAGACAGCTTTTATGTCCATATTTACATCATACATGTAAAACCCAGAAAATAATTGTTTAAATCTTTATATAATGATCGCATTCCCCTAATAACATTCTTGACGATAGTAGCTGGATTTCTTTCATGGGTAAAGTACTCCATTATAAACCATTATAAAGGTAAACTCCATTATAAAGAATGGAGTTTACCATTCCAGGTAAACTCCATTACATCCACATAGGCCTATTAGATCCATATTTGCATCATACATGTAAAACCCAGACAATAATTTGTATGATAATGCATGTGATAATTGCATTACCCTCAAACAATTGAGAATCAACAATTAATGATAACCGTTGTCCAAGGGTTAAGAGTGTGTTGGCATCTACGACTTCGGTGAGTAGGCGGTACCATAGGTTTATAATCCTGTGGGTGAAAAAGCATCTCCTGTTTTCTATCCAACATTGTGGCTTGTTGAGCTTAAAACTGTTGCTCCTTGTTTGAAGAGCATAGAGGATGACAAACCAATGTTTAAAACTAAGAAAGCAAAGGGTCACCCTAAACAGAAATGGATTTGACTGGAGAAATGTGGTGAGTGACATATCGCAAGGTTCCATTTTGGGGCCAACCCATTTTGTCATATACTGTACATCAATGACATAGATGAGAATTTTATAAACCATATCAAATTTGCAGATAACACCAAGATTTATATACAGTGGACTCTTAGTTTACAAATTTAATTGGTTCCAAGAGACAGTTCGTACACTGAAAATTTGTAAACCGAAACGAATTCTCTCGTAAAAAATAATGTAAATTGAATTAATCCGTTCAACACACCCAAAAATATTAACTTGAAAATACATTTTATACAGAATACTACTCATTTTTCACTATACAGGTACCTTACTTTTATTGAGGACTCTTGTTGGCATATGGAAAATAGTGAGGAGGGGGAAAGGTGGAGAGGTGTTATTGTTTAGAAGAGGAGTCCCCTTCCATTATAACATCAGGCAGTGATGACATTCCTGGGATACACACACTCCTTCATTTTGCAGGCATACCACTAAGACCTACTTGTGGCTCACTGCTTTTTATCTTACTAAGAATCAGTCTATAGACACTTGTTTTCCCTACATTGTAATACTTGTCTGTAGCGAGGCATCACATTGTCATTAAAAAGGTTAATGCGGCGGACTGCTACAGCCTTATCTGGACGAGTCTTTTCAGCAAAACTTTGCAGTTCTTCCCATACTGCACACATTTTCATAACTGAAAATGTGAAAATGTTTTTTCCAGAACTCTTTGAGGGTGAGGTTTGTGGCATCAGTCACTTCGACACATTTCCGGAAAAGTGCCCTGCCATAAAGTTTCTTAAAATTGTAAATTACTTTTTTGTCCATAGGCTGAATTAGAGGAGTGGTGTTGAGAGAGGAACTTTATTGTAACAAAACTAAATCCCTGAACAATGAATCCTCCAAGCCTGGAGGATGAGCAGGAGCATTGTCGAGGAGATGCACGGCCTTGAGTGGCAAATATTTCTCCTGCAGATATTATTTGATGGCAAGGCAAACCACTTCATTCACCCACTGCGTAAAAAATTGCCTTGTCACCCATCCCTTACTATTAGCCTTCCACATCACATTGTTTGTTTTTGAGCACATTATATATTTTTTAAAATCCTTGGATTTTCGGAATGATACACAAGCAAGGATTAAATTTTGAAATCACCACTCGCATTACCACACAGCACAAGAGTTAGCCTATCATTCATAGGCTTGTGTCCGGGAAATGCCTTCTCCTCCTAGGAAATGCATGTCCTCTTCAGCAATCTTTTCCAAAATAGCCCTGTCTTGTCACAAACACTTGTTGTAGTCGATATCCCTCACTATCTACAAAATCTTTAAAATCGGCAACAAATCTTTCAGCCACTTCTTCGAGCTGGCACCCTCACCACGCCTCACAACACTATGAATACCACTTCATTTTCTAAAGTTTTCAAACAATTCCCCTGCTCACCTTAAACTCTTTCATATCTGGATCACACGTTCCAAGGGTTTTCATTATAAGATCTTCATGCAATAACCTTGCTTTTTCACAAATGATGGCCTCTGAAATGTTATCACCTGCTAATTGCTTGTTGTTTATCCAAATTAATAATAACTTTTCAACACCCTCGAGTGTTTGTGTTCTTTGTTTTGTGATTGTTGTTACGCCTTTTGCCACTTTAGCACTCATATTGTCCTTTTTTTTTTAGCAATTACAGTGGATATCGTTAACATAGATTTGTTGTTCTGTCTAGCTATTTCAACAACCCGCATACCATTTTCATGTTTACGAATGATCTCGTTTTTGTTCTATCGTCATCCTCACAACTATTTTCTTAGCTTGAACTTTACCACTGACTTTCTTGGGACCCATGCCATGATACTGTAAATTATAAGAACTTTAATGTTCAGAAACCAAAAAAGGCAGAAAAACAATTAAATTCTTCACAAAGAATTCAAGTGCGATCATCACTAGGTAGGATACACTGGTAAACTGAGCATGCCTCGCCCCGCACTCGGCAAAACCACGTGCTCGTCAACCCGTACATGTATCAACAAACTTCGAAATCAGAGGCAAACCTCGAATATGGGGTCAAATTTTGCAAGTTAATTGACCTCATATAAGAGGGGGCATTTGTCAACCGAGGTTCCACTGTATTGCACTGTACAGTTTTGACATTCACAAAACCAAACTGTTAAACCATCTCGTGTGCAATTTAATCATTCGCTGGAAAGGAAAGATGGCGAAGTTAAGTGGGATGTAAAGAATAATCGAGAAATGTGGGAGACGACTGGGCAGGTGGGAATCGACGGGGACAGGAAGGAGTCAACAGGGGAAGGCAGAAGATGAAGGAGGGAGCATGATCATACAGTACACAACTGTTTCTACAAAACTCCCCTTTTCCAATTGTCAAAACTGTATACTGTGGAGGGAACCACATTCAATATGCCCGCCAGCGGGAATATCTTATGCTAGGTGCTCCCGATTGGTGGACAGCAGTCCTACCCCAGGCGTCTGCGCACCACCCACTCGTATGCCCGGAGGAGGCAGAGAGGAGCAGACGAGAACCGCACCTGACCACAGTCGGACCTGTGAACGACGCCTCCCGAACTGTGGTTATTCGGCACCCCGTATTGGCTAGTTAAGATTGGGCCTCGCCCGAGAAGCCATCGCATTGCTTCAGCCTGCCCCTGGCGAAAGAGAAACTGAAAACATGCCCATGCACTCGGCCCCGGGTCCAGATTCATGGAATTTAATATTTATAAAGAAATGCAAAGTGCTGGTAGCACAGGCACTCAGTATAGTTTGGAGGAAGAGCTTGGACACGGGAAGAAAACGATATGGAAGAAAATGCAGAATAGAACCTGTGAAGAGGAGTGCCATAGGCACAATCAGAACACTGTATAAACATCAGAGGTCCATGGTTGTTCAACACCCTCCCAGCGAGCATAAGAAATATTGCAGGAACAACAGTGGACATCTTCAAGAGGAAACTAGATTGTTTCCTCCAAGGAGTGCCGGACCAACCGGGCTGTGGTGGGTATGTGGGCCTGCGGGCCGTTCCAAGCAACAGCCTAGTGGGCCAAACTCTCACAAGTCAAGCCTGGCCTCGGGCCGGGCTTAAGAGGTAGAAGAACTCCCAGAATCCCATCAACCAGGTATCAATCAGGCTAGAAGACTTCAGCTCGAGGTGAGCAACTGTCTTCCTTGTTATTACCTCCATTTATGTGCATGTCGATTACCACGTGGTAGGTCGTCCCATACCCCATAGGCGATCGCCTCCACAATACTATATATTGTTAGGTTCGGCACGGGTGGCGCGAGGTTCGGCACGGGTCGCGCGAGGTTCGGCACGGGTCGCGCGAGGTTCGGCACGGGTCGCGCGAGGTTCGGCACGGGTCGCGCGAGGTTCGGCACAGACTGGGAGAGGTTACGTCCCCCATGGTGCAGTGGTAAAGCACAGGTTGCACAAGGTTTGGCAAGTTTCGGCTCGAGTTGGCCAAGGTTCGACACAGGTTGGCAAGGTTCGACAAGTTTGGCAAGGTTTGGTCCCCCCGTAGCACAGTGGTAAAGCACTCGTCCTTCGTGAGCACTTTAGCCTGGGTTCGTATCCTGGTCGGGGAGGATTGACTGGGCGCCAATCCCTAACTGTAACCTCTGTTCACCCGTTCACCCAATAGTGAATGGGTACCTGGTTGTTAAACGATTTGGTGGGTCGTATTCAGGGGAAAATTAGGATTCCAGGGACCTGCCCGAAATGCTACGTGTGCTGGTGGCTGTACAAGAATGTAACAACTTTTTTTTTTTTTTTTTTTTTGAGATATATACAAGAGTTGTTACATTCTTGTTCAGCCACTAGTACGCGTAGCGTTTCGGGCAGGTCCCTGGAATACGATCCCCGCCGCGAAGAATCGTTGTTACAACCAAGTACACATTTTACTGTTGCGTTAAACAGAGGCTACAGTTAAGGATTTGCGCCCAGTAAATCCTCCCCGGCCAGGATACGAACCCATGACATAGCGCTCGCGGAACGCCAGGCGAGTGTCTTACCACTACACCACGGAAACTGTAAAGACCCCCATATGGTATCTTGTATATATAAATAATAAAAAAGGTAGAGGTTGAGTAAGGTTAAGTTTGTTTTTAAAATCTGTTGGCCAGGGAGGCAGGTGGGAGGCCAGGGAGGCAGGTGGAAGGCCAGGGAGGCAGGTGGGAGGCCAGGGAGGCAGGTGGGAGGCCAGGGAGGCAGGTGGAAGGCCAGGGAGGCAGGTGGAAGGCCAGGGAGGCAGGTGGAAGGCCAGGGAGGCAGGTGGAAGGCCAGGGAGGCAGGTGGGAGGCCAGGGAGGCAGGTGGGAGGCCAGGGAGGCAGGTGGAAGGCCAGGGAGGCAGGTGGGAGGCCAGGGAGGCAGGTGGGAGGCCAGGGAGGCAGGTGGAAGGCCAGGGAGGCAGGTGGAAGGCCAGGGAGGCAGGTGGAAGGCCAGGGAGGCAGGTGGAAGGCCAGGGAGGCAGGTGGAAGGCCAGGGAGGCAGGTGGAAGGCCAGGGAGGCAGGTGGAAGGCCAGGGAGGCAGGTGGGAGGCCAGGGAGGCAGGTGGAAGGCCAGGGAGGCAGGTGGAAGGCCAGGGAGGCAGGTGGAAGGCCAGGGAGGCAGGTGGAAGGCCAGGGAGGCAGGTGGAAGGCCAGGGAGGCAGGTGGAAGGCCAGGGAGGCAGGTGGGAGGCCAAGGAGGCAGGCGGGAGGCCAGGGAGGCAGGTGGAAGGCCAGGGAGGCAGGTGGGAGGCCAGGGAGGCAGGCCAGGAGGCCAGGGAGGCAGGTGGGGGAAGGTGAAGAAGCAGTCTCCCCACCAAAACAAAACATACAGATGTAGCCTGGCACAGCACCACCACTGCTCCAGAGCCCCAGGTGGCTAGGGCTACCGTGCAACAGGCACCTGAGAGTGCAACAGGCACCTGAGAGTTCAACAGGCACCTGAGAGTGCAACAGGCACCTAAGAGTGCAACAAGCTCAATCACCTGCAAATATATCCAGAAGTGCATTAGGAAACGGGGCACTGATGTCGCGTCTGGCGGCCGTCACTCTTTCCTGGGCGTCAGGCGGAGCCCGCCAGGGTTGCCAGATCCTAATTAATAAATATATAAATAAATAAAAGTTTGTGAGGGTACCACCTCTGGTGCCAATGTGGGGACCCATAGCCTCGGAGAAGAAAATAAAAAGTATTCAGAGGAGACCTTGTGGTTTCTCACTGAACACTAATATTATCTTCTCCTACCACCCCCATTCTTTTGTATGTACACATATATATTTACTTTATTTGAACTTTGTTACAAAAAAGGAGTTACATATGGGTTACAAAGCCAGGGAGCTTTGCCAAATAAATAAATAAATACATTTTTATTCAGGTAAAGTACATACATACAAGGTAAGATACAAAAGTTGATGGATTTATAGATAGAGCTAGTACATACAATGCCTAAAGCCACTATTACGCATAATTACCTATAATTGCTGAATTTTATTTATTTATTTATTTATTTATGCATATACAAGAATGTACATAAGGAATGTGAGGATACAAATATGGTAATTACAGTCTTGTAAAGCCACTAGCACGCGCAGCGTTTCGGGCAGGTCCTTAATCTAAGAAAATTTTAAGGAGGTAAATACTTGCAAAATTTATAGACAAAAAATGATAACAGATTACATGAAATGAAAAAAAAAGAAGATGAGAGAAAATTGTAGGTACAGTATATTAAAGCACATAGGTAGCTAAGATTGATTGCAATGACAGCTTAAAATGGTAGTTGACAACAAATTGGTAGGCACAATACAGCAGAAACAATATAAGATGGATTGCAATGACAGCTTGAATGGTAGTTGACAAAAATTGGTAGTCACAATACAGCATATGGCTAGCACATAAAAGAAGACAGCAATGAACACAATGATAAGGTTGTTTGATATTACATAAAAATTAGGAGATTGGTTAACACTAGGTACAGAGCAAATTTAAAGCTTAGTGTAGGAAACTAAGAAGATGAAGTTAGGTACTTTTTGGTTTTGCTTTTAAATAAGGCAAAAGTTTTACAGTTTTTCAATTTACTAGGGAGTGAGTTCCATAGACTAGGTCCCTTAATTTGCATAGAGTGTTTACACAGATTAAGTTTGACCCTGGGGATATCAAAGAGATATTTATTTCTGGTGTGGTGATAATGGGTCCTATTACATCTGTCCAGGGAAAGTTTCAGAGCATGGTTTGCATTTAAGAACAGGGTTTTGTAAATGTAGTTGACACAAGAGAATGTATGGAGGGAGTTAATATTTAGCAAGTTTAGGGAGTTAAACAAGGGAGCTGAGTGTTGTCTGAAAGCAGAGTTAGTTATTATTCTGATAGCAGATTTTTGCTGTGTGATGATGGGCTTAAGGTGGTTTGCAGTGGTAGACCCCCATGCACAGATACCATAATTAAGATAGGGGTAGATTAGTGCATAATATAGTGAGAGGAGAGCAGAGTTAGGAACATAATATCTGATTTTGGAGAGTATACCAACTGTCTTAGAGACTTTCTTAGTTATGTGTTGAATGTGGGTGCTGAAGTTGAGTCTCTTGTCTAGGAATAGGCCAAGAAACTTGCCATCATTTTTATTACTGATGTTAATGTTGTCTATCTGTAGCTGAATTGCATTTGATGATTTGCTTCCAAATAAGATGTAGTAAGTCTTTTCGATGTTTAATGTTAGTTTGTTCGTTGACATCCATAAGTGGACTTTTTTTAATTCATTATTCACAACATTATTTAGTGTATGTGGGTTGAGGTTTGAGTAGATAAGGGTAGTATCGTCAGCAAACAATATAGGTTTGAGAATATTAGAGACATTAGGCAGATCGTTTATATATATAAGAAATAGAAGAGGTCCTAAGATGCTGCCCTGTGGCACTCCAACGGTAATTGGTAGAGTGGAAGAAGTTGTATCATTGATGGTTACATATTGGTGTCTGTCACTAAGATAGGATCGGATGTAGTCAAGGGCAAGGCCTCTGATTCCATAATGCTGGAGTTTAAGTAAGAGGTAGTTGTGATTAACAGTATCAAAGGCTTTTCTTAGGTCAATGAAGAGTCCAATCGGAAACTCATTTTTGTCAAGGGCTGAGTAGATAATGTCAAGGAGACTAATGATTGCATCGTTGGTGCTCTTTTGGGACCGAAAGCCAAACTGGCAGGGGCTGAGTATGTCGAATTTTACGAGGTAGGAATAGAGCTGTTTGTAAATAATTTTTTCAAATATTTTTGATAGAATGGGTAGATTTGATATTGGTCTATAATTGTTTATGTCCGCCGGATTGCCTCCTTTATGGACTGGCGTTACTCTTGCTTTTTTGAGGATATCAGGGAAGGTGTGATACTCTATAGATTTGTTGAACAGTAGTGCTATGGGTGGGGCAAGGGCATGGGAGGCGCTCTTGTACACAATGGACGGAATTTCACTGGTGTTCCCTGCCTTGGTTTTTAGAGAATGTATGATGGACACAACATCTGCCGGGCTGATTGGTGAAAGGAGAAGAGAGTTTGGATAGCTGCCTGAGAGATATGTGTTAATACTATACTATAATTACTATATTATATTATTATTTACCTATATATATTATTATATTACCTATAATTGCTGAAAGTAGTGTGCTAACGGTCTGAAAGTAACGGAATTGTAACTCAACTAACTAACTGTAATTAAAGTACCTTGCATACATCAGTTTAGTGGATTATGCTACATTTTTGCTCGCTTTGATGCCTGAAAGAAAGCTTGCAAGGCTTGAAAAATTGTAGAACGAAGCCTTGAGGATAATTCTTGGGTGCCCTCGTACCACAAAGATATTTAACATGAAAAAGGAACTTATGTGGTCGATCTCGAACCCATTGTTGATGTGACGACTTATACTGAATCTTGTAACTAGTTCATCAAGATTGTAACTTGCTTAGCTAAATGAATTGTGGGGTTCAGTCCCTGAACCCATTATGTGCCTCTAACCCTTTCCACTACCGCCCACAAGATGGGTATGGGGTGCATAATAAATGAACTAAACTAAAAGGAACTTAATATTTCGAGCGTTGTTGATCATATTACTGAAATTAACTGTCAAATTGGTATAAAAATGGCTAACTCCTCCTAACCCTTGCACAGAAGCCCTCCAGAATTTCTTTACTAAGGTCAACATTCTTCCAAATGGGTAACTAAAATTGGTACTGAACTCAGACTATCATATTTATAATTTTTACCAAAAGAAACAACGGCACTTTCCTGCACCGTGGGAGATTACACCCTTTCCTATTTCAATCCTTCCCTTTCCACCCAAGAAGCAAATTAGAGGCCCAAGCTTGGTCTTGAGGCAAAGCTCAACGCCTTAGGCCATATTGATGCTTTGTCCACAAGGCACACTCTCTCTCTCAAATCAGACTTATTTATTTATTTATTTATTTATATACAAGAAGGTACATTGGGATTGTGAGGATACACAGCATAGTAATTACATTCTTGTAAAGTGAAATTGACACCAGTAATTCCATCTATCATCATACTATCATGCAAGAGGAGCCACACATCTATGGATCATCCAATAAAATCAGCAGACTTCTAGATGTTACTACTGCTCGGCTTAGACTCGGTTACAAGTATCTCTGGGAATTCTCATTATCTGCTGATGTAGACCTGACCAAATGTAAACTGTCAACAAAATTATTCGCACACCCTCCGTCACTATGTGATGGAGTGCGAAAAGATACGTGAATTTAGAACAATTCTATAACCAATATTCCAGCGATGTGTAAATATTTCATTCAAAATGATCTGCTACCAGAAATTTTAGCCAAATATCCCCAGTTTGCTAACTGTAGGTAGTAACTAAGTGATTGTAACCTATCCACCGCTGCCCACTGGATGGGGGGGCGGTGTGCAGGATAAACATATCAACTGTGACACTAGCTCTCCACATATGTCAGTTACCTAATTTAGAAACTGTACATGAGGTCGACCTCAAACCCATTGATGATGTGACGACTTATTGAATTTTGTAACTAGTTCATCAAGATTGTAACTTGCTTAGCTAAATGAATTGTGGGGTTCAGTCCCTGAGCCCATTATGTGCCTCTGTAACCCTTTCCACTACCACCCACAAGATGGGTATGGGGTGCATAATAAATGAACTAAACTAACTAGTTACAAAATTCAATACGCATCGCCACATCATCAATGGGTTCGAGACCGACCAAAAGTACAGTTTCTAAATCAAGTAACTGACATATGTGGAGAGCTAGTGTCACAAGTTATATGTTTGTCCTGCACACCGCCCCCCATCCAGTGGGCAGCGGTGGATAAAATAAAATAAAAAATAAAATGTTTATTTAGGTAAGGTACATACATACAATAAATTTTTACAAAGATTGGTTGACTTATAGGTAGAGGTAGTACATACAATGCCTAAAGCCACTATTACGCAAAGCGTTTCGGGCATGATAAACTTAAATGACAAGCTTAATACTAATTGAGCATAATGAGTAGAATGAAAACAAGAAATGAAAACATAGATGAAAAAGCAGCACAAATACAATTATGTCGACAAACAGCGCTCTTTAAAGAAAAACAGACATTGGTTGACAATAGAAGGGTAAGGTAGGTTACAGGGAATTTATTAGGTATAGCTTCGTTTTTAACTTAAACTGGTTGAGAGAGGTACAGTCTTTAACATGGTTGGGAAGGTCATTCCACATTCTGGGCCCCTTGATTTGTAGAGCATTTCTAGTTTGATTAAGTCGTACTCTAGGAATATCAAAACTATTTATTTCTGGTGTGGTGCTCATGGGTTCTGTTACAACTTTCTATGAAGCTTTTGAGATCAGGATTGGCATTATAGTTTAGCGTTTTATATATGTATAATACACATGAGAGAATGTGCAGTGACTTAATGTCTAACATATTCAGAGATTTGAGTAGGGGTACCGAGTGATGTCTGGGGCCAGAATTGGATATTGTCCTAATAGCAGCTTTGTGTTGAGTAATTAGAGGACGTAAGTGATTTTG